ATAAAAAAAAAGAAAAATTAAAATTAAATAATCAATCAATCAATCAATAAAGCTTATAATCAATCATCATAAAAGTATCATAGAAAACGTCCATTTTTGTTTTTTTTTTTTCTTTTTTTTTAAATAAATTCATAATTTTTTTTTTACTTAAAAAATTTTTAAACATTTTAAAATTTTAACAAAAAAAAAAAAATTAAAAGGAAAATTTCTAATACATCGAAATTGAAAGAATTAAAATAATAATAATAATAATAATATAAAGAAATTTTGTTAAATTATGACTAGAATTATTTATTAAATTATTACAACCTTGATAATTTTTTCCATTTTTTTTTTTTTTTTTATTTAAAGTTATTAATAAAAAAATTTTGTTTTATGTAATCCCCCTCCCCTTCCCTCCCCCTCAAAAAAAAAAAAACAAAACAATAACAAATTAATTCATTTGATCATCAATTAATGTAAACAAACGTATTTTTAATCATTTTATTTTTACACCTAATTAATTATAATAATAATAATAATAATCACTCGTGTTTTTATTTATATATAATATTGTTTTGTTTTTGAGCTTATAAAAGCATTTTTTTTTTGTTTAAAAATACTATAAAAAAAAAAAGTTTATCAAGAAGACTGTTTGTGTAATATTTATGTAAACGTCAATAACAAATTTTTTCATTTTGTAACATAAATACATTGTAACGTTTAAACAATTTTTAAAAATATTATTATTTATAAAATATTATCGATTGTATTTAACATTTAATTAATTATTTAAAATTATTCAGAGTATTATACATATATATATTATATTTATTTTTAATTAATTTAACATTCTTATAAAAAAATAATAACGTATATTTGAAATTTATAGATTTATTTTTTTTTGCTTCCTTCCTTCCTTTCAATTTTCACTCATTTTATTTAAATAACATTATTAAAACGTATTAAATATTATTATTATCATTTTAACGAGATTCTAATATGATTTACGTCTAAATGTTTTTTTTTTTTTTTATTCTACCCAAGGCCAAAAATTTATACAACTTTTAACTACACAGTATTAAATGAGATCTTAAATTAAAAAAAAATGGAAAAAATACTTTTTTAAATTATCAGTAATTGTTTTTAAGAGAAGAAAAACAAAAAACAAAAAACAAAAATAGTAACAATAATTAAGACTAACATTTTTTTAAAAGAATGTTTAATTTTTTGTTTTTGAGCGAATTAAGATTTTATTCGAAAGATTTTCATTCGCACACACCCACACACACACACACACACATAAAGTTATTAAACGAATGTATCACATTGATTGTTATTTAAAGTTTTACATATTAAAACCATAATTTTTGTTATTTAAATTTAATTAATCAACAATATTGTAAATACAACATTTAAGAGGATGGTATTACACTTAAAAAAAAAACAAATCATCATTTAAACTTGAAAAAATTTTTACCAAAATAAATCCGAGTTAAAAAAATAACATTGTAATATTAATCGTCTCTTTTTTTATAAGTACAAATAATGAATTGTAAATCAAATATAAAAATATTTGGCATTCGAGCCCCAACAGTTTTTAGTTAGAAAAGATCCAAAACAAGATGTCTTTTAAATATCTCCAATGTTATTATCATTTACACCGATTAGAGCTTCTGTTTGTTCAGTATCATAATCCGATCTAAAATGAGTTTTGTTAAAAACAAAATGGTAAATTTTTCATTTAGGATAACCTTTAAAGAAATTATCGATTTCATGCCTTACCTAGGAGGACTGAATCTTTTACCAAATCCCAGGTAACATTTTTTAATTGCACTCAATATTGGATCCCAATTTTCTAAATATGATAATAATGCTATAACAAAAAAAGCTGTGAACGTTGGAATGGTTCCCAAATAAAATATATAAGAATAATTTATT